TTTTTTTTTCGGCGCTGGGGGCCTTTTCGCCCTCATGGCAGACTATGCAGACCACGAAAGTAAAAAAAACTGGACCGGCAGGCCCGATTTCACCGAGTCGAAATCGGGCCCAATCTGGATCGTCGATCTCAAACATCGACGGCCCAGATCCGCCGGAATTTCAAATCGGTGAGGGCGGGAACAACCGGCCCCCGTTCCCTCCCCCGTTCTCACGTGTACCCCCTACCGTCTTCCCCCGAACATAACGCACCCTAAAAATGAATGTATACGAGTTATATTTCCTGCCAGATACAGCCAAAATGAGGGTGTGTTGTGTTAGGGGGAAGACGGGTCCCCCCGTTCCCCGCCCTGCAGTTGTGTCGCTCCGCCGGACTTCGACGCTGCCAGCACCTGCCAACGCCCGCCTCCGCACGTGACCCAGCCGACCCTGCCAACGCCCGCCATTGCGGGTCCCCGCCATCGACAAGGTAAGGGACTTTTGTTGTTGGGGGGGGGGGGGGGGGGAAGAGAGAGAGAAAGAGGGAGAGAAAGAGAGAGATCTTCTTCTTCTTCTTCTTCTTTTTCATCATCACTTCTTCTTCTTCTTTTTCATCATCACTTCTTCTTCTTCTTCTTCTTCGTTGCCGCTTCTTCTTCCTCCTCTTCTTCTTCACTTCTTCTTCTTCTTCTTCTTCTTCTTCTTCTTCTTCTTCTTCTTCTTTTTCATCGTCACTTTTTTTTCTTCTTCTTCTTCTTCTTCATCGCCACTTCTTCTTCTTCTTCTTCTTCTTCTTCTTCTTTGCTGTCGCTTCTTCTTCCTCCTCTTCTTCTTCTTCTTCTTCTTCTTCTTCTTCTTCTTCTTCTTCTTCTTGGTCACTTCTTCTTCTTGTTCTTCTTCATCGTCACTTCTTCTTCGTTGTCGTTTCTTCTTCCTCCTCTTCTTCTTCACTTCTTCTTCTTCTTCTTCTTCTTCTTCTTCTTCTAATTCTTTGCTGCTTCTTCTTCGCACCCGTTTCAGGCCCCATTCCCCTCCCTCCCAAATCGTCAGGATCACGCCCAATCGCTGGTCCCCCCCGCGTGGCCGTGGTCCCCCCCGCGTGGCCCCGTCATGCCCCTTGTGCTCCTTGCTCCCCGACTCTTTCCCCCCCGCTCTCCACACGGGCTCACCATCCCGATCACCCACCTGCGCTCTCCCGACGTCATTCCCCCCCCCCCGATCGTCTCGCTTCC